TCTGTCTGGAACCAAGGTTTCAATATTTTAGCCATTGAAGAGGAAAACACCAGAGATTCTTCAAACACTGGAGTAAATTAGGGTAAAACTAGTCACTGCTGATTTTGAGCATTTCTTTGAAAGGTAGGTTTGTAAGGAATGGAATGAAAGACCAGATTCTGTGTTTTTGGACAGCCAACATAAAACATGGCCAACATAAAACAATCTGTCCTCCCCCAGACCCCTAAACCCTGCAAGGATTATGTTTCTGAATAATGTTTTGGCTTGTCCTGCTGTGTACCATAAATCCCCTTATCTTAATGTTGTTACCATGTCTGACCTGAGAGGAGACAGTGAGGACTGGGCTTATTGTAGTTGAAAAGTCACGAGAGCTTTTAAAATTCAAACCCATAAAAAGTGCCATTGATTTTCTGATAGGTATAGGCATGAGATAGGAAAACATATACTTTCCTGCTAGTTGAAATGTAGTTATTCTTCCTGTATGTGCCCAAGTTTTTTCAAAGGGAGGTAATGTGCTGCAATTTATTTTCACAGCAACAAATGCTGATTTATCCTCAGCTATGGACTCAGCCCTCACAACCTCTTGTTTATTATGAAGTCTGCCAGTGATAGGACAAGGGGCAATGGATGCAAACTGGAGCATAGGAGGTTCAATGTGAATATCAGGAAAAACTTCTTTTCTGTGAGAGTGACAGAGCCCTGGAACAGGCTGCCCAGAGAGGCTGTGGAGTCTCCTTCAGGGGAGACATTTAAACCCACCTGGACACGTTCCTGTGTGATGTGCTCTGGGTGACCCTGCTCTGGCAGGGGGGTTGGACTAGATGATCTTTCGAGGTCCTTTCCAACCCCTGAGATTCTGTGATTCAGTGATTCTGCCTTCCCTTTCCCATGGATAGTGTATATATCAATTTGTGACGAGCAGGTACATGCTGGGAGGAGGCTGCATGGACACACTGGTGGCAGACAGGTTTCTTCCAGCCAAAAGCTCATTCCCCTCAGTCCTGTGGGGCGCAAGGTCATCTTAGCTGCAATCCCACAAAAAGTCAGTATTCTCTGACTGCTCCCCCCCTCAATCTTCCTTATTCAGGTGACCAAGGAGGGGTAACTTTTTAAGGGGATGTTGTGACAGGATGAGGGGCAATGGCTTTAAATTGGAAGAGAGTAGTTTTAGATTAGACATTAGGAACAAATTCTTTACTACGAGGGTTGGCCAGGGAAGCTGTGGATGCCCCTCCCTGGAGGTGTCCGAGGGCAGGTTAGATGGGGCTCTGAGCAACCTGGTCTGGTGGAAGGTGTCCCTGCCCATGCAGGGGGGTTGGAACTAGATGATCTTTAAGCTCCCTTCCAACCAAAACCATTCCATGATAACTCAGGAGGGAAAACACCTCTTCTTCTGTGCGTTTTGGTTTTTTTTTTCCGAGGTGTGGCAACGTCGGGCAGTCGGTGGGTGCTCCTCAGCATCCCCGCGGCAGCTTCCAGCGGCTGTTCCTAAGAGGGTTAACGACCCCCCCTTTCCTCAAG